CTTGTGTTCCCTCTCTCGCTGTGTCTCTCTCTATCAAATAAATAAATAAAATCTTAAAAAAAAAAAAAAAGCATCCGACTCTTGGTTTCAGGTCTGAGATGGAGCCCTGAGTCGGGATCTGCGCTCGGAGTGGAGTCTGCTTAAAACTCTTTCTTCCTCTACCCTCCCCCCGCCCCACGTCCTCTCTTAAATAAATAAACAACAACAACAACCACCACCACCACCTGAAGAGTTTATGTTTCCCTCTCCCTCCCCAGGGCCCTGCCTCCAAGACCTCAAGGCCACAGGACCCTATAGCCCCATAGATGTCAGGGGCAGAGGTGCGACCGTGTAACTGTCCCCCACCTTGCGTTCCAGGGAGCCTTGGCGGCTGCCTCCTGTACCAGTCGGGCTGTGCACGTTAACAGTTGTGGGGCAAAGCTGTGAAGGCCACGCACAGTCACACTGGGGTAAAGAGAGAGAGACTGAGAGAGGAGAGGAAAGGAAGAGAATAGCTAACACGAGGTTCTTTTGTGGGTTTTATTTATTTTTTGTGGGTTGTGTTTTCTGGACAGAGTGGAGGGGAAGCAGCTACTGTCCAGGGAAGCATGGGGCTGTGGGAAGGCGCTGGAAGCTTCACGACAGCACCTTAGGTAGAAACAAATGAAATACTGTTGCACTGTGATGAGTGGTGGGGGCCGGTGCACAGAAGGCCTCTCTGAGGACGAGCAACTAAAGCTGAGCCCTAGGAAGAGAAGGAGCCAGCATGTGAGAAGGGGGACGTTTTAGGAAGGTCACTTGGGTGCTGTATGGAGAGTGGACTGCAGAAGCCAGGCAAGAGACCACTCAGCTCCTATAGTCGTCCAGGTGAGAGAGGATGCTGGCCCAAGCCAGGAGGGTGGCTGTGGAGATGGAAGAGGGTGCCATCTGTTTGGAAGATGGAGCAGTCAGGGCTTGCTGAAGGACTGTAATATGTGGGATGAGGGACAGGGTCAAGGATGACTCCCAGCGGACCTGACTTAAATGCCTGGGTAGACGCAGTACCATTTACACTGCCTCCCCGCTCCCCCAGCAAGGCAAGAATAGCCTCCCGCAATGCTCTAGAGAAGTCTGGTGATGCACGGACACTGAGGGCAAGGAGAGGGAGAAACAAAGAGGCAGGGTCCAGAATTTCAGGCCAGGAGCTGGAGGGCAAAAGGCTGGTAGGCAAACACGACTCCTAACTGCAGACAGTACCAGAGGGTTAGTAAGGCCAAGCCAGCCCTAAGGAATGCAGGGATGCCCAGGGCCCTTCAAAGCACTACAGAAGCTTGGTGCTATGGGAGCTGGAGGTCGGAAAGTCCCTTTGGGACTTCCCTTCCACTTTGCAGACCTGCAGCCCAGGGCCGAAGGCGAGGGGAAAACTTCCCTGACTGACGAATCCCCTCCTTCTGCACAGTCCTGGGTTTTGTTTTATTTTTATTTATTTTTTAAGATTTTATTTATTTATTTGAGAGAGAGAGCACAGATAGGCAGAGTGGCAGGCAGAGGGAGAAGCAGGCTCTCCGCTGAGCAGGGAGCCCAATGAGGGGCTCGATCCCAGGACCCTGGGATCATGACCTGAGCTGAAGGCAGACGCTTAACTGACTGAGCCACTCAGGCACCCCCTGGGTTTTGTTTTAGATGGCCACATAAACGCGATTCCACCCTCGTAAAACGTTTCCAGTGCTTCCCACTGGTGTCCCTCATCGTTTGGCAGCCTCCATCCCTCTGCAAGGCTCACAGACCACTTCCCTCCACAAGGGGCAAGGCCCACGTACCAATGACCCTTTCCTCTCGCTTCCTCCTGCTAGGTACACCCTTCTACCCCCTTCAGCCCCGAGAATCTTCTGGTCTTCAAGGACCAATGATGGGGTTCCTCGAAGCCAGAGTGAACAGCCACTCTCCCACCCTGGGATCCTGCAGCAAATTGCTTTAATCTCTTTAGAGCTGGTGGTTGCTGCTTGTGTCCGTGCGGATGGTCCAGCTTCAACCCCGTATCCAGGCGCCCAGAAGATCTGTACTAAGCGACCCAGGAGGGCTCGCCCGCACATTTCAGGGCTCCGAGCCCGGTGCTCGCGGCCTCGTACCGGGTGCCTCGCGCCCTGCGGCCGCGTCCTCCGTACTCCTCGCGTTCGGCTGCACAGCCGCCGAGGCCCCACCGAGCCGGCCGTTTCCCCAAGGCCGCGAAAAGACCGGGGCCGGGCGCTCCCGGCTCCCGTGACCGCGACCCGCCACCCCCGTCTCCGTGCACTCCATCACGTGACGGCGGAGCGGGCGAGCGTTTTTCTCACGTGACGGAGGCGCCGGTGTGGGGACCAATGAGAAGGCGGGGGCGGGGCTTCCGGGGGGCGGTGCGCGGGAAGGGAACTCCCGGCCCCCGCGGCGGCGGGTGAGACCCGGAGCCAAGCGGCGGGCCGGGTGGGTAGGGCCCGGCGCGGGCCGGCCGCCAGTCTCAGCTCGGTCGGAGGCCAGACTCGGCCTCGGCGCCGAGGGCAGCATGAAGTGTCTGGTCACGGGCGGCAACGTGAAGGGTGAGTTGGGGCGACCGGGGGGGGGGGCGGGGGCACGTGGGACCGCCGGAGACGCCAGCCTAACCCCCGTTCCTTTCCTCCTCCCCGCAGTGCTCGGCAAGGCCGTCCATTCCCTGTCCCGCATCGGGGACGAGCTCTACCTGGAGCCCCTGGAAGACGGGGTGAGGGGGTGGGTGGGATTACAGCCGGGAGCCAGTTTCTCCTCGCGTCAGGCCAGATGCCCTTGGGCAGAGTTGTCTGCCGAGTTTGTCCCCCGCCTCCCGTTGTTGGGGCGTCAGTTTGGGCCCTGTCATCTTCCCAGGCCGGGTGTGAATCGAGAGCCACTGCCCTCCCTGAAGTGCCTGTGGCGGGTGGGGGCAACTGGGGGGAAAGGTAGAGTGTGCTGACGGTTGTGTAGGGCCCTTGCTGTGGGAGCAGTCACTGCCGGGGATTCAGGGAAGGAACGCTTCATGAAGGCACCCGCTGACCGGAAGGAGAGGGAGGATTTCACCAGGTGATGGTGGAGGAGGAGGAGGAGGACGTCAGGACAAATGTGTGAGCAAAAGCCGGCCAGAGGGCAGGGCCTGTCTCTGCGCCCTGACCGCATCCCTCTCCCTGCTTTTCCTGGCCCAGCTCTCTCTCCGGACGGTGAACTCCTCTCGCTCTGCCTATGCCTGCTTCCTCTTTGCCCCCCTCTTCTTCCAGCAGTACCAGGCGGCCGCCCCTGGTCAGGAAGCCCTGCGCTGTAAGATCTTGATGAAGGTGAGGCCCTTCCCTCATCAGCGGTGCTTTGTGTCCCCTCTGCCCCCCCAGGAATGTGTCTGCCCTGGGGCATTCAGAAGATGCTAACTGGGCAGAGGAATGTATGCAGGAGCAAGCAGGTGTAAAATGCAGTGAGGGGCATAGGAAAGACCACCGAGGGTAATGGGAGATACGGTGAGGGAGACTGATTTCTGCCAGGGACCTGGAGAGAGTGGTGACATTCACCTTGGTCCTCGAAAAGTAAGCAGATCTTTCAAGGCATCCCAGACAGGTGTGCAACAGCATGAACAGAGGCCTGGAAAGGCGTAAATGTGCTGCATGTTGTGGGAACTCCCTTCCTAGTGGGACAGTGCTGAGCCTGGGATGGCCGGATCCTACGTGGGGGTGAGAGCTGGTTGGTGGAGGCACAGCACTGGGCTGATGTGTTGCCCCCACTCAGTCGTTCCTGGCCGTCTTCCGCTCACTGGCGACGGTGGAGAGGAGCGTGGAGAAATGCTGCATCTCACTGGGTGGCAGGAGCAGCCGCCTGGTGGTCCAGCTGCACTGCAAATACGGTGAGTGGGCGGCTGGCCGGCCAAGGGGTCCCTGGTGTGGAGGCGTGGAGGTTAGCAAGACCCACTGAGACCCTGTCTGCCCATCCAGGGGTGAGGAAGACTCACAACCTGTCCTTCCAGGACTGCGAGTCCCTGCAGGCCGTCTTTGACCCAGCCTTGTGCTCGAATGTGCTCCGTGCCCCAGCACGGTGAGTGTGACCTCCAGCTACCAACTGAGCGTGGGTCTCATTTGTTTCTTTGGAGCTTCCAGGGTCAATTTAAGAAGACACCTCCTTCATTTTCTCTGCAGAGTTTCTATCAACCTCAAAGAGTTTATCTAGACCGGTCTGCTCTCAGGTCCTGGGCTGGCTCTTGAGGGGCTGAGGCTGGAATGGAGGAGGGCATCGCTCCATGCTCTTCACTGTCTTCAGGAACCCGTATTCTCCACCCCAAAGATCCAGCTTGGCTTTCTGGCCACTTAGACCCCTTCCGACTCCTCTTTTAGAAAGCATGTCTTTGGGTTGCTCTTAAGTCCTCTTTCTCTGGCTTGAGCAGCCTTGAACATCCGTCTCTAGCTTTGCGACTCGGGCTCAAAATCCTTCTCTGGTGTGGTCATCTTTCTGGGACTGTTCTCCACTCAAGGGCAGCCTCTTTTCCTGTCTGCTTTGGCTGTAGCTTTGAGGAGTCCGCAGGCCGAGGAAGGAGGCTGGACAGGGTGGTCATGGTCCAGGAGGGCCGCCTGAATGAGCATCTGTGGGGATGGGGCTGTTCCGGGAAAATCAGAGTACCTGGGGGGCTGTGCCGGGCCCAGGAGATGGGGATTCCAGTGGAGGCAAAGGTCCCTGCAGCAGATCAGTGTAGAGAGGGGTGGCTCCCCTCCCACCTTCGCTGTATGCTCCTGGCATTTGAGTAGCCCAAGGTCACGTTCATTTCTTTTTGTAGCGGTAGGGTGTGGTAATTTGAAGTTCCCTTTGGGTCCTGATGATCTGTTTTTCTGAGTTCTGTTGAGGTGATGCTGCTCAGGACTCCTTTGGGTAGAGAAAGAGGGAAGGGTATCTATCACCTCTGGTCTGGATTTTGGTGGTGTTTTTTTGTGTTTTTTTTTAAATGAGCAATTGTTTTTCTTTTTCTCATGGACAATTTCAAGTATGTATAAAAGCGAATCCCTGCTCCTGTTCCAGTTGCCGTGAGACAGAGTTCAGATGTTATTTCATATGTATATATTTGTCAACCTGTGTTTCTAAAAGACAAAGATTAAAGGTCTTTTTTGAAGGCTGAGTTTATAGGGATGGCCTGGTGTGCTTTCCCCCCTGGGAGGGGCAGGTGCTGCTGGCCTGGTTTGGCCCAGTGCGAACAGCCCATCCTTTCTGTTGCCTCCTCTGGGCTCTACTCTTGTCTGCCCCGTCCCTTGCAGTGGACTTTTTCTCCCCCAGCAGCCTGAAAGCTTTGGATGGGGTAGGAGCCATGTCCTGCTCACCCTGTCCTCCTTCCCAGGGCATGCTAGGGCCAGCACATGGTGGGTCCTTTTGGACACTGGTCTCCGCAAGCGCGAAGCCACGGGGCAGGCCTGAGCCTTGGCTGTGATGCTGTACCCCCCTCACAGGGTCCTGGGGGAGGCTGTTCTGCCCTTCCCCCCGGCGCTGGCAGAAGTGACACTGGGCATTGGCTGTGGCCGCAGGGTCATCCTGCGCAGCTACCAGGAGGAGGAGGAGGCAGGTGAGAGAGCCGGACATGGCCTTAGACAGGGGGTTAGAGCTGGGGTGGGAGGGGGTAGGGCCCAGAAGCCTAGGTCCCTCCTGTTCCTGCCTCCACAGACAGCACCGTCAAAGCCATGGTGACCGAGATGAGCATCGGGCAGGAGGATTTCCAGCAGTTGCAGGCCCAGGAAGGGGTGGCCATCACTTTCTGCCTCAAGGAATTCCGGGTGAGGTTTCCCCCAGTACACTCCCCACCCCGTCCTCCCTGCCCTGCCCGGGGCCTCACTGCTCTGCTTCTCCCTTCCCAGGGACTCCTGAGCTTTGCGGAATCCGCAAACTTGTCTCTCAGCGTTTACTTCGATGCACCAGGCAGGTAATTCCCAGCCTCAGGTCCAGGAGGGGAGGCTCTGGGACGCTGGGAACTGAAGGGCCCTGACCTTGCCCGGGACCTGTCGTCTGCCTAGGCCAGCCATCTTTGCCGTCAGTGACTCTCTGCTGGATGGACACTTTGTCCTGGCCACGCTGTCGGAGTCGGACCTGCACTCCCCAGCCCTGTGCTCCCCAGAGCTCCGCAGGCTGGCGCCTCCACTCCAGGCTCACAGGTGAGGCTGCCCACATGCCTGCCCGCCCCTCCCCACTCCCATCTCTCTGGACCCCGGCCCGAGCCTCCTGCCTGCAGCTCGTGCACCTCCCCCAGCACATACACTTCCTGTCAGGCCCCAGCCCCTCCGATGCTCACAGCCCCTTCCAGCCCTGCAGGCTCAGCCTTCCTGGTCAGCTGTGCTCAGAGAGAGCCCTCCCACCCAGGGAAGAAGTGTCCCCAAGGTCGGGTTGGCTTCCTTCTCTGGCTGAGGCCTCCCCTCCGAGCCTCTTCTCAGGCCAAGGAGGGAACAGGCTGCCGGGAGGCAGGTGGCTGGAAGGGCAGGTGGGCCGGGGCGGATGGGCCCAGTGTAGCCGAAGCAGAGGAAGTTTGGTCTGGCCCCCTGCCCAGCACGTCCCTGGGCCCCAGTGCTCTCCAGCTCTGTCTCCTGGGAGGGCGGAGGCTTTGGCCCCAGGTGGCCTAGCTCGGAGGACTCGATGCTTCTCTACCCCAGCTGAGCTATACTGGCTCCCAGGATGCTTCCCTCAGGCCCCTACCTGAACTCTGATCAAACGGATTCCAGGTCCACACCCTGCAGGAAGCCGCCACGTAACCACAGCATCTTTCCCCTCCAACCAAATGAGAAAGTAATAAAGCCAAGAGATCACCAGTGGCCGCAAGGCTTTCACCGCTCCCTCTGAGTCCTCTAAAATGGGGTCCTGCCTCTGTACCCTCTTCTCTCCCTGTGGCTCGCTGACACCCTGTCCCTGCCTGCAGCACACCCCACCTGGATGACTTTGCCAACGATGACATCGACTCTTACATGATTGCCATGGAAACCACTGCGGACAGCGAGGGCTCCCGGGCGGTACCCTCCATCTCCCTTTTTCCCGGCCTCCGGCCCCCCTGTAGCCCTGGCCCCTACTCAGAGGACAATGAAGCTGAGGCCGGTACACAGCCTGGGACTCCCCCACCCAAGAAGGTAGGGGCTGGAGATGGAGGCAGGGGTGGGAGGCAAGGACGGAGCAGCCTCCAGAACTCACTCTGCTTCCTCTGTTCACCTTCCAGTTCCGCTCGCTGTTCTTTGGCTCCATCCTTGCCCCTGCACACTCCCCTCCGGGCCCCAGCCCTGTGCTGGCTGAAGATAGTGAGGGTGAAGGCTGAACTGAGAACAAGCCTGTGTCCAGAGGCTCTGGACTAGATGAAGCCACAGCCTCCCCCTTCCCCCAGGGGCAGCCCAGGGATAGGGCTGATCTCCACCCTGCTGGGTGGTCAAGGTGGGCTGTGCTGGAGCTGAGCGCTGGTCCTGCTGCCACCCCAGGTCCCTTGTGGCTATCTGTGACTAGCCTGGGTCCTATGTTCTCTCATCAACTCCCAACCAATCATGTCTGTCCCCAGGCTTGGCAATGAGCCACCACCTGATGGGAGGTCCCTCACCTATTATTCCCCTCCCAGTAGGCCTTTAGGCCAGACTCCAACCATGTGGCTAGGGCTGGACACCTGCCTTCCCCAAGCGTACCTCCCTAAGACAGAAATCACAGAGGGGCTGTTGGCCCCTGCTGGTCTACCTTCTTTGCCAATCATGACCTGTCCCTCCCCCAAATCCTGGGCACACCTCTGGGATCCCTTGTGGCCCGCAAACTTTTTCTTGCTTTCTCTATGCTGTCTGGCCCTGGCTTGGGATTCTAAGCCCCTGTGTACCTGAGCCTGTGGCTGGGATTACCCTGGCTGGGGCCCCATGCCCAGCAAGCCTATCCTCCCAAGTGGCCCTAGACAGAAGGGCTGCCAGGCCCAGTATTTGGGACAAGGGAGACGGAGGCCATGGCGAGAATCCAGCTTTGACCTTTATTCAAGAGACCAGATGGGTCGCCCCAGGATCTGTCTGCCAGCCCTGAGGCCAAGCAAGGCTGGAAACCCACATCTGGCCCTGCTTTGCCCTGAGCTGCAGCCTCGGCCCCAGGATCCTGCTTGCGACCACTGCAGGTGCAGGCGGAAGGAGCCCTGGGGGACTGGACGCTGCTATTGATTCATTAAAAAAAAAAGAAAAACACACCAAGGCTCCGTGTTCCCCGTGACAGGTGGGCCTGGGGGGCCAGCGTGAACCCCCCAAAGGCCACATAATTTCTGTACAATCCACCATCTGGGGCAGAGTGCGGGCACGCAGAGGCTATTTCTTGGCTTTGGCGGAGTTGCGGGGCGGGGTGATGGGCCGGCCTCCAGGGTTCAAGCCACTGAACTGCCCGTATTTCCCCTTGTTCTTGTCAGCGGGCTTGAGGATCTAAAAGAGACAGAGCTGGTCAGGCTCACAGGCTAAGCCACGGGGTCACAGGCCCCTTCCTTCCCCATCCCCACCTGGAAGGAGCACATGAGCGTCTCATCCACACTCATCATGGCACCTGCGTTGTCAAACTCGCCACAGTAGTTAGGAGCCGAGAAGAGTGTCACCAGCTGCCGCTTGGCAAAGAACTCATAGCCATCTTCCACCACCTGGATGAGGATAGGGGCAGTTAGCTCAGCAGGTGCTGGCTACCCAGCCCCCGCTCCCACCCACCCCAGAGCTGCCAGCCCACCTGGTGCGCCCGGCAGATGAGGTCCAAGTCGTGCTTGTGCAGGAACTTGGCCACTACCTCAGCCCCAAAGGTAAAGGAGACACCACGGTCATTCTCGCCCCAGCCCTGCACGTCCTTGTCAGGGTCAGACCACAGCAGGTCACATAGCAGGCCCTGGTCAGGCACGTCTGTGGGCCGCATGATACGCCGAATCTGCTCCATGGACTGCAAGTCTGGGGACAAGCCTGGGGGAGCAAGGCGGGGGGGGGGGGGCAGGTCACTTCCTCAAGCCTCAAAACAAAGACACCCCCCACCCACCCACCCCCCCCGCTCCACAAAGCCTCTGCAGGTCAGCCTCCCCTCTACCTGCCACCACCTGGCCCCCCCCCAAAGTCCCAGGAGTCCAGGCAGGCAGAAGTCATCCCCTTCTGCCTCAAGGACCACAGAGCTCTCTGAACAAAGGAGACAAAAGTCCACGCACAATGCCAAGGCCAAAACGGGGGTGAGTGGAACCGAGTACTGGGGTGGGGGTGGCGGGGGGGCTTCCTGGAAGAAGTGATGTGCAAAGCAAGAGCACTGGGAGAGCTGTTCCAGGTGACTGGGAATATATCCCGCCCCCCCCCAGCTACCAGCCTCGTCCCAAGGCCCCCAGGGATGTGGCCCGGGGCTCTTCCTTCCCGGACATTCCTTTCGACATGTGCCCCAGAGCCACCCTCACCTCCATGGCAGCAGAAGATCTTCTCGTCCACAATGGCAGCAATGGGCAGGCAGTTGAAGCAGTCGGTAAAGGTTTTCCACAGTTTAATGTTGTAGCGTCTCTTGCCTGCCGGGGGCAAGGAGAGGCCTCGTTAGGCCTGTCTGCCTCACACCCAGCCTGGGTCTCTGGGCCCTCCAGGGCACTCTGGGGGCCCTTCAGACACAGCTGGGAGAAGAGAGTGGCAGACAAGAGAAGCCCCTCCCCCCACTCCACTGCCTACCAGCCTTCCTAGAAGAATTCTAAAGCAGCTGAGCCCACAGGAACCTGAGTTCCAATCTGGAACAACCCACCCCCACCCAGTGAGCAGGGCCAGGCCAAGACTAGGTCTGGTTTATCTCAACTTCTGGCCGGCAGAAGCCAGTCCAGATAGGCATCCTAAGTGCTCACCGGTTGTACCGGAGGGGAGTGTCATCAGGCAGGGCCCTGCAGGAGAACACTGGGCAGTGTTCAGTCAGCAGCCATTCGCCAGACCCCTTCCGAGCGCCAGGCCCCGTGCCAGGAGGGCAGGGCACAGAGACACGGGCTGGCGTGCGCTTCACAGAGCCCAGTCTGCAGGTATCTGTCAGACGCTGATATCTTTACCGCCGATCCAGCGTGAGGGTCTCACTGGATAGCGGAGTCCCTTAAGGACTGGGCAGCCCCAGATACTCTGTCTACTCACACTCATCATAGAAGCCGTAGATGCGGTTGATGCTGGCACACTCGTGGTTCCCACGCAGAAGGAAAAAGTTCTCGGGGTACTTGATCTTATAGGCCAGCAGCAGGCAGATGGTCTCCAAAGACTGCTTGCCCCGGTCCACATAGTCCCCCAGGAAGAGGTAGTTGCTCTCTGGAGGGAAGCCGCCGTACTCAAATAGCCGCAGAAGGTCGTAGTACTGGCCATGGATGTCACCTGTGACCCAGGGAACGGGTTCAGCGCGAGGTGCAGGGGCTACACTTGAACCCAGGGCCAAGTCTGGGCTCCAAGGAGGAGCACTGCAAGGACTTGGGAGGCGGGGCGGGGGGAATGCCACTTTCAGAAAGCAAAAGGGGCCTGGGCAGAGGGCTCACCGCAGATCTTGAGGGGTGCCTCCAGCTCCAGAAGAATGGGCTGGCTCAGGAAGATCTCCCGTGATTTGAGGCACAGACCACGGATCTCGTTCTCTGTTAGCTGTACATTCTTTCCAGGCCGCGAGCCCTGCACTGGGGGCGGAATGGGGCGTCAAGCCTCTGGTCCCTCAGGCAGGAGGAAGGTGGGCGACACAAGTGGCCCTACGGGCACATCTGAGGGCGCCTGGGCCTCCTGGGCCCCTCCTTGCCCAGGGGCAGCTGTTGCTGCTGAGCCTCCCAGGATGGGACCCCTCCAGGGGGGTCTGCTGTGCGCGGGGGGGGGCCTGTCACCCCACCCCATAGCGCAGGACCCCTGGGAGGGGTGGAGCTAGGCTTCTTAGGTTTCTCCCTCACCCCCAAGAGCACAGGCCAACCTGTGCGCCCCCGGCCCAGGAGAAGGGGCTGCTCCCCTTGCCAGAGCGTCCCCAGAACCGCCCAGGCGCCCCGCGCCTGGGGGGGCGGCTATGGCCGCGGGACCTCGAGGCCCGTCCCCGCCCAGTCTAAGCTGGCCCTGGGAGGGGCAGGCCCGCCCGCGCACCACTTCCGGGCCAGGCAGAGGGCCAGGGCGCGGCGGGCACCGACCTCCCCCGCCCCGGCCAACCTTCCAGCAGGCGCCCGATGATAGAGTCCAGGTTGAGCTTCTCGCTGTCGGACATGGCGGCTCCGCCGCTCCAGCCCAGCAGCTCCGGGCCCGCTCCTGCCGCCCGCCCTCCCGCTGCCTCCTTCCGGCCTGGCGCTCCTTCCGCCCGCCCCAGCCCGCCCCGGCCTGCCGCCCCGCCTCCTGGGCCTGGTCTACCTTCTTTGCCAATCATGACCTGTCCCTCCCCCAAATCCTGGGCACACCTCTGGGATCCCTTGTGATGCTGCTCAGGACTCCTTT